AACCTTTCAACACACTTGAGTTTTTCCCGTAGCACTGTCTTTGTAAGCTGTGTTCAACATCACAAGAGTTTCTGTGACATTTTTCCCAAGCAGACAACAAAATGTCACAGCAGGACAATGTCCTCTTAAATTGGCCATCACAAAAAACAAGGTTTGAGCAAAACTGCTTTTATGAATAAATTCACTGTGACCAGAGATAACCTTTCCAGGTGACGCCACTGGGTGCACTCAAAGCAAGTTGCTCAATGCTTGCCTAGTGGGAAAAATGCGTACTATGAAAGTTCCACCTGTTTTTTTCTTTTGCTTCTTTTTGTTTTGCTTTTGAGGTACCCTCTCATATATCTGTTTCAAAAATTTTATGTAAAAATTTAATTATCTTTTAAACCCATTTTTCCACATAAGTTTTTGGAATATCTAATTACATACATATACACTTTTGACTATAAAGTGTTATGTCTCATTTTGAAAGGATAAAAAAACGTGCATATGTAAAATATCCCCTTTGTAAAAATCTATTTTGTTAATTCAAGAGCCTGGTCCCTCATATTTAAGCATCTCTGATACTGGGCATCTCTGGGTTAGTTTAACAAAGGTTACGGAACACTGATAGTGCTGATACTGCTGCCCTTGCCATATGTGGATTTGTTCATAACTGCTCATATTGCCCTATCATTTGAAATCTGTGCTCCATTGGTTCTAAGGGATTTGATTTGTTTTGTGTGATTTGATTTTTAAGTGCCACTCAAAGGGTTTCTTTAGAGTGCTTTTTGATTAGACATTGAAACAGTCACTGTGCATTCAGAAAGACACAGAAAACGAGTGCCCAGGAATTTTAAATGAAGCAACACTCATGGTTGGGGGAATGACCTCAATTCTCTATTTTCCTCTAAAATCACCATATATGCTTGCTGAGTTCTAAAAAAATCACTACCAGCTGGTGAGGCGGTAACATTGTGTTCTTGAGACATGTGCAAAGGAGGGTCTTCAATACACCAAGCCCCTAGTCTGAAAGGAGGAGAAACGGGTAAGTCCCTTGGAACTGAGATGTTTCAAAGCAACAAAAAACAATGTGAGTAACGTATGGATCTCCCAAGGCTATCCTCAATGTTCGTCAGCGTTTTGATTGTGTATTTGTTTTCTTAGCTGTTAGGTGCTGATGAATCTGTCCCGACGCATAGGGACATTAGGTACAACAGCATGCAACACTGCCTGGTCTCGCGCCATCTTCACAATGGTTGGTGTGTTTGAGCCCATTGCTGACGCCCCCTGTTGAGGAGCTTCCTCTTTTTTTGTTCAGCCGCTACTTTAGCACGCACCATGCTCTTCTTTAGGGACTGGTCCCTCCTGATGACATGTTCAAAGTACATGAGATGAAGCCTTGCCTTCCTGGCTTCTAAGGAGTTTCTGGCAATTATCTTCCAAGACAGATCTGTTTGGTCTTCTGCTTGTTCGAGGTACTTTCACCAACACCATAATTCAAACGGTCCAATTCTTCTTTTGTTCTATTCCTTGCCCATTTTTCTTAGCATCTCATAATGGATGAAATGCTGTGTACAACCTCTGTATATATGTAACTAGAAAGACTACAGGAATTATACACCCAACTACTAATGAGGATGATATCCGACTTGTAAGGTTTCAAATCATGTTTCCCTATTTTGCTTTCTGTTAATTTCTATTTTTCTACCATCAAGACTTTTATTTTTAGAATACAGTGTTCCTTGGAAACATCGATATTTTATAGCTTTTAGTTTTAATTTTTTAAATTGTGAATTAGGTGAGGGGATTTACATTTCAGACCATGAACGGTTACAGGTTTTTAAAACTCAAGCACATCGCTAAGGCACTCCCGAGGGCATGGGCCAGTTAACTGCGGGCCACAGTCATGGGTCCCTGGCCCAGTCCTGAGTTCACTGCTGTGAACTTGGAGGAAAGATGCGACTCCCTGCATCTCAGTCCCAGGCCCATCGCGGCTTCATAAAGGGTTCCCAAACTAGTCACACGCCACCCCCATCTTCAGTTCTTCCTCTATCAAACGAGGGGTTGGACGCGCCTACTCAGGACAGTTAGCTAGGGCACATGAAGGGTTTCCACCTTTGCGCAACGTCATTTTCCATGGCCGTCACCTTATGAGAGATGCACTCTTTCGTTACTGGGGGAGGAAGCAGAGCTTCCTAGCTTTCTAAGTTTGAAAAACTCCGAGCCGTGCAAAGTTAACCAGATTTTCATGATTTCTGAGAAAGCAACAGGTGCTAATGGGCACAAAAGAGGCTCTGGTGGTGTAATGGTTATGTGTTGGGCTGCTAACTGCAAAGTCATTAGTTTGAAATCACAAGCTGCTCCTTGGGAAAAAGATGAGACTTTCTACTCAAGTAGAGTTACAGTCTTGGAACCCTTGGAACCTCACGGGGAGGGGCGGGGGGGGGGGGCGCAGTTTTACCCTGCCCTGCAGTGTGACTATGACATGGACTTGGCTCAGGCTGCAGGGCAGTGGGTTTGGTTTGGAGAGTGGAAGGGGTGGCGGTGGGGGTCCAGTGGCAGGTTTGACTTCTCCACAGCAGTGCCAGGTTTGATTCCTGGCTAATGCACCTCATGTGTACCTCCCCTCCACCCCCCGCTGGCCACCTCCCACCCTGGCCCCTGTTGTCATCTGCAAGTGCAGGCTTGTGTGTTGCTCTGATGCGGTTGTACCCTAGTGGCATAGTGGTTAAGTGCTCAGCTGTTAACCAAAAGGGCACTGGTTGGAATCCAGCCCCATGTAGCAGTCTGTGTGTATGCTGGGATTACAGCCTTAGAAATCCTGAGCCATTTCTTGACCCTGAATAGTTGCTATGCATTGGCACCAACTCGATGGCAGAGATGCAGAACACCCAGATGGAGACAAACTATGAAGGCCAAAACTTGGCCAAAGAAATCCTTGTGGATCCCAACAGTCTGATCCCATTGTGCGTGGGTGCCTCCAACCTAATGGCACCTGGCAATGGGGTTGCAACAGCATCTTGAGCCTGGGGTGCTGTACTGCTCCTTAATGATCTCTATGGGCTCCTTCCTGCTGGGCTGGTGGTTATGGGTTAGGCTGCTAACCACAAGATCAGCAATCTGAAACTACTAGCCATTCCTTGGGACTATATATATATATAAGCACATAAAGAGGTAGTCTTGGAAATTCACAGAGACAGTTCTACCGTTCTACCCTGTCCTATAGGAAGGCTATGAGTCAATTCTGAGTTTATAGGCTCCTCCAGGACGTTCCTGAATGCTCTGTTCTCAGGTTCTGCCCTGCTTCCTCCTTTCATCAGGGGCCCTCTGGTTCTCTCTAAGGCCGACACCACAGTGCGGCTGCCACCTGCTGCTTGAGGCTGTTGTACCTAGAGCTGTGCCCAATCTTTAAGGATGCAAATAGGAGCCCTGGTGGAGCAGTGGTTACAGTGCTGGTTGCAAATGGAAAGGCCAGTGCCGAGAAGCCACAAGGCAGCCTGCTTTGAATGTGTGTTGTGCTGTGGTCAGCTACCACCTTTGAACAGGGCACCATTGCTGCCTTCCTCCAATTAAAAAACAAAACAAAAACAAAAGAACAACTCACTGCTGTGGAGTTGATTCTGACTCGTAGCAACCCTACAGGACAGAGTAGAACTGCTCCTGTGGGGTTCTAAGACCGTCTTTATGGGAACAGTCAGCTTCATCTTTCTCCTGAAGAGCAGGTGGGTCTGAACCATGTCCTTGGGGTTAGAAGCCCAAGGCGTAGCCCACTACGCCAACGGAATGCCTGCTTCCTAATCGGTCAGAATGCTACGTGCAAGACTTGATTCATTGCCCTTGTTTCTGTTGGGGGTGACCATGGTTAAAATGCATCTTATCAATGAAAGTAAAGAATTGGCATTCCTGGTCTCTGACATCCCTCCTGGGCCTCATGTTCAGTTAGCAGGTAGGAGAAGTCATCGCTGCCTCCCATTGGCCAACTACTTACTGGAAGACAGGGCTCTCATATGGGGGATTTGAAAATCCAGGGAAAAAAATTCTTGCCATGTAAAGTTTTGGGAAACATTTTATAATTTATATATCAAATCTCAGTAAGAAACCATGTAAAATGACAGAAATATACATCTTACATTGAGTTCAAAAACAAAAGAAATCAAATCAAAACAAAAACCATACACATTAAATGTGAATTTTAATTAGAAAACAAGAATATGAACAAACTGCTTTTAAAATAATCTCATTTGGCAACTCATCACATCATTACAGGAGGCAAATTTGATCTTAAGAAAAGTTGAATCTTATGAAAAACACAAGTTGGACAGTCTGCGTACAGGGGAGATAAAACATGTTTAAAAAAGAATCTGGCAAATGAGGCCAGTTTCTATTCTGAAATCATTATGTATAAAACCACCAAAGATTTCAAATGCTCCACTGGGGATGGGTGGGGGTGGGGAGCCAGTCGTCAGTGCCTTTCTCTCCTGGACAGCCTGGGAGCCAGCTGGGGTTGGGCACAGAGCAAGGGGGGAAGAGCCATGGGGGCTATGCTACCTGGTGGGATGTGATTGTACACTGATTGTACACTCCCCAACTCCCACACCAAACCCAGGCTGGGCAGGAAGTCACAGAGGAGTATCTAAAAACAAGCTACATTCTTAAGAGAGAAGTCTTCACAATAGAGGGCGGAAAAGCATGGGCCAGCCTTTCTGGAGCTAAGCTACTTCACCTGGAGACATGCGAGGATGACTTTCCTGCCAGATGATAGACAGACAGGCAGACGGGTGGGTGGGCTGGGCAGTCTCTACTGGTGACTGACTGCATAGCATTTAAAACCTTTTCTTATCAAGAAACAAAACAAAAACGCCTGATAATAAAATAAAATACACAGATATATAGTCAAGTTCACAGATAAGTTTTCTCTGGAAAATAAATAAGGTGTTCATTGATTAGCATCTTACAGAGTAAAATACAGCCTATCTTTACATGTTTATATACTGTACACAGATAAGCAGGGTGGTGGGGGGTGGGGGGGGGGTCGGGAGTAGGGCTCTGTCAGGTGGAAAAGGTCGCCAGGTGGGGCAGCCCCACTGGAAAAGGTTAAAATATACAGTTACTTTGTTTTGAGTTGAGATACAAAGTAAACTTATCTTCTTTTACCTGAAAGAAATGTACATAACCTCTTCTATGAACAGTTCATAAAGCTGTTTGGAATATCCCAGGAAACAGCCGGCAAGTGGAACCACAGCACATAGCGCATCTGCTTCCTGGTTGACAAAGCAATGGCTTCCGGCTGCCAGCTTGCTCCCTGCCCCCGGCTCCCCACCATGTCCCTGGCTGGGTCAGCAGAGCCAGGACTATCGCTTGGCCTTTTTCCCGGGGGCCTCTTCCACTCTCTGCTGGCCTCGAGTCCGAGCCCCTGGCGGGCTGGCTTCTCTCTTGCGCTTGGCAGGCGGAGAGACCTGGGCCTTGGATCTGCAGGGAACAAAGTCAGGGCAGTGGGTGGGAGTGCAAAGCAGCCGCAGCAGCAAGTTCTTTGGGAGTCGCTAAAAACATGGAGGATGACCCAGCCAATGCAGAGAAGCCCAGTGTTAAACTGGTACACTGAAAGGACAGGAGATGGGGAATTCCATTTCTTCACCAAAGCAGTCACCCGGAGAGAAGTGCGTTGCTGAAGCTGCGGCTTTGGGATGCTGTTCCACCCGAGGCAAGTGTTGAGAGAAGCAGTGTTTGCTCACAGCGCCTGCACGACGACCCATGTGACAACCCATGGGGGGCACGGGGGACCCAGCTGACGTTGGCACAGGGCATGGCAGGCGAGAGGAGCTTGGGTGAGTGTGGGTGTCTGTACCCAGCTCTGCCCAGCCTGCATTCCCCTCGGTGTCTAGTCCCACTGTCTGTCAGAGAAAGAACTGCCAGGCTGACCAACGGATGTGCTGTTGAGGCAGCTGGGAAGAGCCAACCAGGACTGGGACTCAGGCAGGCTTGCCCGGGCAGGCACCACTGTAGGCACCATGAGTGAGTGTGCTGGCTGTGCTGGTGAAGGCACAACCTTTACCCTCTGAGGGGCGCACCCCGTCTGTGCCCGGTGCCCCCTCCCTTTCTCCAGCTGGCCAGGATGCGTCCACTCCCCAGCTGGTATAGCCTGTGGAACACTGCCACTCCCACAGCTTGCCCGTGGAAGTGACCCTGGGAAGAGAGGTTGTTCCAGGGAGCTGGAACATTCCACACACCTCCTACGACCGCCTCCCTCGGCCTGCACTGGCCCTCTCCATAACCTGCTCCTTTGAGCTCTTCCCGCTCGGGAAAGGACGCCATCCCAGCAAGGGAGTGCTGGTGATGGCCAGGCCAGGCCCACTCAACACGCACACAAAGGCAGCCACAACCTACAGGTGGCCCCGGAACAAAAGAACTTTGGTCAAGGAACAAAAAGTTGTCAGGAAAAATGTCGTCAGATCAACTTGGACACTAGGAATCGTGAGATCTGACAGGTCATTTCTTGGTCAAGAATCATAGCCCTGCCCTAATGCCTACTCACGACTGTGCCATGAAAATCTGTTACATATTCATAAACCCCTCAATTTCCTTCCTGATGTACACTAGAACTGCAAGCCGCCCTTTTGGGGGCAGCTGCCTTGGTACCTTGAGTCCTGGCCTGTCTCTTGCTTGACCACTGCAAGTCTTTCCCTTCTAGTGGCACCAGAGAATGATTTGTTGGAAACACCAAGTTCTCTCT